ACCCAAGAGAGCAATGTAGCGATCAGCTGTGGAGTCACCGCAGGCTCCCTGCTTCAACCTGGTGAGCTGTGCCACCTCTAAGCTCAGTTTTCCTCTTATTTATTTATTTTATTTTTTAATTGAAATATAGTTGACCTACAAGAATATGTTAGTTTCAGGTGTACTACATGATGATTTGACATTTGCATACATTCTGAAATGATCACCAACGTAAGGCTAGTTACCATCTATCCCCATACAAAGTTACAGTATTATTAACCATATTTCTTATGCTGTGTATTACATCCCTGTGACTTATTTATTATATAACTGGATGTTTGTACCTCTTAATCCCCTTCACCTGTTTTATCCGCTCCCCCATTCCCCTCCCCTCTGGCAAGCACCCCTTTGTTCTCTGTATCTATGAGTCTGTTTTTGTTTTGATTTGTTTGTTTGTTTTGTTTTTTAGCATATAAGTGAAATTCCATGGTATTTGTCTTTCTCTGTCTGATTTTTTTCACTTAGCATAACATCCTCTAGGTCCATCCATATTGCCACAAATTGCAATATTTTATTTCTATGGATGAATAATATCCCAAGGTGTATGTACATATACATATATGTGTGTGTGTGTGTGTGTGTGTATACACACCACATCTTCTCTATCCATTTGTCTATTGATGGACAATTAGGTTGCTTCCACATCCTGGCAATTGTAAAGCTACAATGAACACTGGAGTTCATTTCTCTTTTCAGATTAGTGTTTTTGTTTTCTTTGGGTAAATACACAGAAGTGTAATTGTTGGATCATATGGCAGTTCTATTTTCAGGTTTTTGAGGAACCTCCATACTGTTTTCCATAGTGTCTGTACCAATTGACAATCCCACTAATATTGCACGAGGGTTTCAGTTTTCCTCTTGTACAGGGTTGGGGGGAGAAATAGGGGTGCCTGCGTAACGTGGTGACTTTGATGAGCAGGTTAGCCCATGTAGGTGAGATGCCTAGCACAGGGCCAGGCACACAGGAGGACATATGTGTACGTGTCAGATATTAAACCTTGGCTTGAGAAAGATTTAGCTCGCCAAATGCATTGGAATGGAGGAAAACTGAGGAGGGGGACAAATGAAGATGCTACGGCATAGTACTGTTTGAAGACGAGTTGGGGAGGCAGAGAGGGGACAGGGAGGGTGGCAGGGGTGGGGCTCACTGGGCTTCACAAGGGAGTGATTTCCATTTAGGTGGGTGGTGGTGTCTGTTATCCATTTATTCACTCAGTGGACAGCCATTGATCACCTGCTTCATGCAAAGGACCTAGTAATGCGTGGGGAGGTGGAGGAATACTGCAGAAATACAATTGCTTTCCAAGCAATCCTTCTACTTCTCATTTTTGATGCATTCCTTCTATTTCTGTATATTACTTGCTGCTCAGAGGCCAGATTTTAGTAAGTTTGAGGGGTCGATGGGGCATCAGGCTGGAGGTGGTAATGGAAAACGTGAGACTGAATTTTGGTAGTGAAACGAGGACAGAGTGGAGATTTGGGAACGATTTACAGGGAACAGTTGGGCTAGATAAGCTCTGGGTGGGAGACTGCGTAGGAAGCAGGGAGGGGACGGCTGGAGAGGCCCGGCAGGGATGGCGCTAAGCTGCCTTATCTCTCTTCTCCACAAAGAGCACACACTAGAAAACGGAATTTCTGGAGAGACCCTTTTCTGGAAAGAGAGTGCTTCTGACCCGGGTGTTTGCAGGCAGGGGCTCCACAGAAGTTGTAACCTATGAAACTTCACATGTTGATCCCTTCAAAGTACCTCTCGCTTTTCAAAGTTCCATTTTGTTTAGTTGGTTTTACTTCAGAGAAATTACGTAATCGCTCAGCTCTTCCTTTGCTTCTTTCTCGGTGTCTCACCCTCTCCTTCATTTTCCTCGTCTTATTTTCTTCCCCTTTTCACCCTTTTTCTCATGTATCCCTAGTCCCTCCCTCCCTCCCCTCTCCTTTCTCCCCTCCCTTCCCTCCCCCCATGGAGATTGAGTCAGGAAGGAGGAAAGTGTCCACACTTTCCAGTTTGTTTTCCTGCACCGGAGCTGTGTCTTCAAACCAACAGAGAAACTGTTTGGGAGAAAGAGACCTCGGAGGATTCCGCCCTTATCAAAGGCACATCAGCGTCTGGGCAGTGGACTTCCTGTTTACACAGCTCTCCCGCTCTGGGGAGGCTCAGCTGAGCCTGGCCAGCTGTGGCCCGGGCAAGCCGCCTAGCTCCAAAGCCCAGCATCCCACCGGTTGGTGTCGGGCTCAGGCTTGCTGGAAACCCACAGCATCCACACCGGTCCTCCGCCACACCTGAGTGTGCTCCCCACACCTGAGCATCCTCGGTTTCTGAATACCCACTTCTCCCGCATCCCCAGTCTCTCTCCATCAGGTGCACTGGGGGCCTGCACTCTTCAGAAGCCAGGCTGCGACACTTCCTACCTCTGTTGCCCTGTTGTGGTCCACAGGGGGCATGGCTGCCTGGGCTTCTCTGGGTTCTCTGGCCTGGAGCCAGGACCCCCTTGTCTCTAAACTGTAAGGCACTTGGGGAATCATCACCCATCCTCACCTATTTATTAAACCCCCACTATGTTCTCTTCACTGTCCTAGGGACCTGGTGACACAGGTGGAAATGAACAGGCCCTCTGCCCTTACACGCTTACGTTCACAGACAGACAATGAGGGAGAAAATGTCGAATGATAAATGGGTTGGGGGCAGTTAGGGTGCAGGCAGGACTGAGGAGGAGAGAGGTCTGCCTGAGGACCAGAAGAGGGCTCCCTGGGGGACTTCTTTAAGTTGGGCGTGAAGAGGGGGCAGTGTGGGAAGATGTAGGGGACAGTGCTCTAGGCAAGGGGACCCTAACTACAAACGTCCTGGTCCTGAGGAGGGAGCAAGTGGGGCTTGGTCAAGGGACAGAGAAGTGGTGGGGAGATTGGATGTCAGGAAACAGGTGATGGGGTGTTTTTTGATGAGCACTGGAAGGTATCCAGAGGCAGAGCTTCCTGAGCCTGTGGGTGGGCTCTAGAGAGATGCTTGCATTTTATTATAAAGGCACAGAAAAAAAGCATTGAAGAATTTTACTCAGGGAGAAGGGTATGAACAAATTTATATTTTAAAGATCAGTCTGGCAGCTGGGAGATGTTGGATGACCAGTAGAGGGTCTGGTGCCATAGAGAACCCCACTGGTGGACACGTGTCCTGCATCTGGGCCTGGGGTTGCATAGTGGGCACCAGGAGCTGAGCCCCGAGCCACGCGGACTCTACACCCATGATCTCCGTGATCCTCCCACAGACCTGGGCCATAGATGTGCAGAGGGAGAGTGGCCAGGGAAGGACAGAAACAAGAGTGTGACACAGTCCATGGAGACCAGCTGTCCTTCGAGTGCCATCCCGAGAGGCTCCCGTGGGAGCCTTTGCTCCCAGCCCACAGGAGTGGGACAAGGAAGTGGCTTTGGTCTTTCAGGCCTGGAGACGTAGAGCTTCAAGGCGACCATTCCTGCCTTCACCTCCGATGACCCCCTGATGGACAGGGTCAAACACATAGTGCTTTTTCCACTGAGGCCCCCTGACCACGGAGGAGTGGTTGGATGGACAGAGACGACAGGGTACCTTTATAGGGGAACTGCCCCGTGTTCTGTGGGAGCACTGAGCTTGAATCTCATTCAGAAAAGGACTGTTCCCGAACAGCAAACGTTTAAGATGGCAGCCCCCAAACCACCCTGAGCCAGACACAGAGCCCTCGCGTGACCGACAGCAAGATGCTTGTCCCAACTGACCACCAGGCTGGAGGCTGGAGTCCTGGGAAGCTTACTGGGGGGAAGCTTTCTTCCTCAGACATTGGGTGGTGACATCTGTGCGTGAAGTGACCTTTGAATGACTATAGATCCTCAGACTGTGGATCTTCTGCCAACTGTGGCAAAGCCCCTGAGAGGAGGACTTGCCACCCCAAGGCAGAGCAAATTGGGCCTCAGGTATTTAGGGACCCTCAGCTGAGGATGGACAGAATAGGGGCTGAAGACCTTGGAGCAGCCCAGGCCAGACTGGGACCAAAAATGCCTCTTGCCACACATGCCATGTGAAAAACTAGAAGTGTGTATATCATCATCCATCTTACTGTACTCACGATTGCTCAAGGTATGGAATAGCATTTATAATAATTATATGAGAATTATCTCTGTGTTTTGAGGACTTGCTGGGTGCTCATTATGCTAAAGATTGAAAATATATTATCTCATTTAATTCTCTCCACAGCTAATATTCTGCCAATGACAAGGTTGCGGTTCAGAGAAGTTAGGTGACTTCTCTGAGGTCACACAGGCTGTAGCCCAGGTCTGCCTAACTCCAAAGCTTGGCCTTGTAGCCTCTGAGCTTGATGTAGACCTTGAAATGAATGCAGAGTAAAGTTATAACCTTCTCACTCCAGAGGGTGAATTGAGTCGTTCTTGGCAAATCCTTTTGCATCATCATAATTCGCTGAGTTAAAATCTTCCCCTGGGTATTTTATGCACAGATGCAGGGACCTGGGTGAGTTCTGTGTCCCCTTGGGGGTTGAAGCCTAGGCGCAGAGTGGGCCAGGTCAGGGAGCAGCTCTCCGCCCCGTGCAGCATACTGACTGCTGCCTTTCCTCGCTTCTCCTCTTTGCTGTTTACTTCTTCTAGTGTAAAAGTAACATGGGCTTGTTATAAGAAATGCAGACACCATGGAAAAATATAATCTGAAAATGTGAAAGCAAATGTAGCAATCAGGGTCCCAGCAGAGATGAGACGGCACACTCCAGTTAACGTCATTTCAGGAGACTTTAATAAAGGAATTCCTTACAAAAGTGCAGGCAGGACACACAGTCACCTCCCCTGGAGAGCGGGGAGGGGAGGGAGAAGTCACCAGATACAAAGTCAGGGAGCAGGCCTGGACAGAGGGACACAGTTCCCACCTTCCATCAGCAGAAGCGGGCCAGAGGGGTGGGGGAGGTGGGATGACTTGGCTCAAGGTTCCAGGGAATAAACACCCCGTCGTCCTCAGCTCCTGCTGGTGATGCCGGCAGTGGTGTTGGCCAGGTTGGTTCCCAGGGCAGAGGTCAGGCCCAAGAGTGTGGGACTGGGTCTGGAAGGTGACAGAAGATATTCCACACAGTGCCCCAGAATCCCATCCTATAAAGTAACCTCTGTTGGCAGCTATGTCTCTAAATACCATCTTAGGAACTGAGTCCTCGACACACTCACTAAACCTGGACCGTTCCTCCCAACCAAAGCCCCCGCAGCCCACTGCCCTCAAGTTCTGCAGGGCACTGAGTGAGTAGCATGAGGTCTGCCATATACACTCAGAGAATCTCACTAATCAAACGAGAGGGAAAGAAATTAATACAGAGGAGGAGGCTGGGTCCACAGTGACAGGCTGAGAAGAGAAAGAGGAGGGTGCCCATGGCTGAAGGCAGCAGATGGGCAGGACACCTGCCCCAACACGGCTGCAGGGCTGGCCCTGCCTCTGCCTCCGGACACCCCTCCCACTTCCACGTGCCACTGCCTCCCCGCAAGCCCTGAAAGCTTCCTGTGCAGCCCGGAGTGGTATAGGCAAAAGCAGGTATAATGAGACATGGGGGCCCAGAGGCTGTGTGAAGCTATTACAGAGTTTGATTTCCCCAAGGCAAAGCATCCCAGGTCCAGAGCACAGGCTCGCTGTCATCCTGTGGTCCTGGACCTGCAGCGTCACATCCCCTGGGACCCGTTAGAAATGCACCTGTTTAGGGGCCACCCAGGCCTGCTGAGTCAGAAGCTCTGGGGTGCTGCCAAGAAATGTGTCCTAAGAAGCCCTCTGATCACCTCTCAAACTTGAGCACCTCTGGTCTACAGCAGTGATTTCCCACCATGAGTTTCCCTAAGAGCAAAGAAAGTACTGCCACCTGGTTCCCAACCCCCGACTCTGATTTTGTTGGTCACAGTCTGGGAATCATGGTCCTAACGTGCAGCTCGGGCTGAGCCCCTGGGCTGGGCCTTCCCCCAGGAGGACTCTGTTGCCTCTAGACTTTCTCTTCCTATCTCTTTGCTTTCCCGTATTTCTTTTTACTAAATCCTTTTCTTGGATTTGCCTTCTCTTTTTTCATCTACTCACTGAAAACAAGTTAGGGTGATAATCGTCTCTCCAAACATGCACTGCCAAAAAAAAGTGCCTAAACAAGATAGATCCTTGTGAGCAAATCCTCTGGGGGTTTTGCACAGTATGTTAAAAATAATATATTCGATTTTTCCTAACGCTTCAGCCTGTAGTCTTGGGGACTTACAGTGTTCCAAATGATTTTTTTTTTTAATAAAATGAATACTACAGTTTATATTAATGTATTAACATACATTACAAATGTAACCACATGAAAGTTTTTAGAGAAATATTAACTTACCACATTATTCAAATTATGTCAATTTGACCAGTGCAAAACCCTCAGGGCATGTAAGCAACAGCAACAAAAAAGGTACTGCTTTGTAAATAGTTAACAGGAGACAGTTTTGCTGCCTTCCTTCTTGGGATAGTAGATCAGGCTTTGGCTAAAGAGAAGGTAAACAAACTTGGACTTGGCTGTGTGACGGGAGAAAACTTCCAGAGAGACAAGACCGAAGAATGCCAGCTGCCCGCAGAGGCTGTCCTACCAGGGACAGCTGGAGTGCAGTGCGGAAGAGAGTGCCTGGTGGGGCTGGCAACCAGGGGGGAGGACAGACCACAGACACAGACACGTGAACAAGGGAGTGAAGATGATGTGGAGATCTGTGGGTTGTGAGAGAAACAGGGTGGAGCAGAAATGCTTATCACGGAGGCTCCTTGGTGGAGGGGAGGGTCCAGATGAAGGATCAACAGAGCCATGGGGTGGAAGGTCTGGGAAGAGGCTTGGGCAAAGGAAAGATGCATTTGAGGACCCTGGTGAGATGGTGTGATTGAGGATGGGGAAGGGAAGGGAATTGGGGCTGCAGAGGGGAGCTGTGGGAATTTCTTGGAGGGTTTCAAATAAAGGATGTTAAGATCCACGCAGAGCATTTTTATTTAGTGCCTACAATGAAACCACACTTTCTTGAGCACACAGGGAACCCCAAAGCAAGGTGAGGCTGATTTTTCTTCTCCAGAATCTAACACGTTGCTACCTTTGAGATACTTTTCATTCTTCTGTGAGGAAAGACGCTGAATCCAAAATCCTAAAAGGCTCAAGACCACTACAAAGGCTCTCCTCACATTGTTTAAAATTAAATGTTTAATATTATTTTGTAAATTAAGTTTTCCTTCCATCCATTTCCATTTTTTGCTTGGTTTTTCCCTCCAGGCTCTACTTGAATCACTGCATCTCTTTTCTCACCATGGATGACGCCCACCGGCCACGTCCAGGGAATCAGGTAACCTCTTTTGTTTCTCTTTCTGGATGCTGGGAAGTGCAAAGGTCTGAAAACATGTCTTCCCTTGTCCTAAGCATTGGGGGCCTACCCAAAGAGTCACATATCAGGCTGGAGTTACTCCTAAGGGCTGGCAGCAGCTCCCTGACTCATTCAGTTTGGGTTTGGCTGGGTCCCTGAGACGGGATTTCTCATGTGTCTTTAATTCCAGCCACAATTCCAAGCCCTAACCTGCCAAAGATGCCTTCTTCTGTCTTTTGTTTCACTTTGATAGTGAATCGTGCGAGCGTGTGAGCGAAAACAATGGGGTAGTTGCATTTAGTTGCTGGAAACTTCACAAGTTTGTTCCACTTTGATCTGATTCCTGTAAAACAGCCCACGGTGTGTGTTGGGAGAAGAGATGCAAGTCATTTCCAAGCTGCCTTGGACATTCTGTAGGTGTTTCTAAGCAACCTGTGGGTGGAGACCAGTTTGAGTGGTGAGTGGCTTAGGTTGAGGGGACGAGGTGGAAGACTCTGCCTGCCTGTCTTATTTTACTTGGAAACCATTTTTAATTAAAAAAATTTTTTTGCATAGGAGGCCATCTGGCTGCTCTGAGAAAGGATCTGTAACACTGGCATGAGGTGGTGCTGGGGTCCCCTGGCAGGACAGCTGGTGAAATGAAATTGCTGAAGCTGGAACAGTTGGGAGTGAAGGATGAAAGTTGGGAATTTGAACTCCCAAGAATACATATGTTCAACACTGTGAAGATCTGTGGTTTGTGAACCCTCAGCAAAATTAAGCAATGGTAAAATCCAGCTGAAAGAATTTCAGTTCACAGACAAAGGAGCAAAAATGATTTTCAAACCACATCCTCATTAGCAGACTTATAATCAGATGTGCCATGTGTGCTGAAATGTCACAGGGATGGGCACCTCTTTCTGGGTCCAGCCCAGAGCACAGTTGTCCCAAGGCTTCCAGAGCTGCGGGTCAGGGAGCTGCAGCCGGTGGCAATTACATAACCTCAGTTGTTTGTTTAAATATTTTCTTCAGCAAGTAATTAAAATTTCTTGCAATGAGTGAGTGGCGGACCCAAGATGGAGACTTAGGAGCTGGAAATTTCCATGAAATTGGGCAGAGCTGGTGACTCTTGATGATGGACCCAGGGGAACAGGGCCCAAAGCCCTGGATGAGTGGGAAATCTTGGAGAAGGGCTGAGCTAGGAGTTGGGGTCCCTGAGGATGGGGTGAGACTACAGACCGAGAGCAGCATGGGGATAAGGAAGGGAAAGGAAGCAACAGGCTGAGCCCAGGGTGGGTGGACTGTGGGCCTGTGTACCCTGAGGCCAAGGACGGAGCCTAACCACATGAAGCTGAAAAAAATTCCTGAATCCTGGCTTCATGAGAACGTCCTGCCCTGGGTACTTCAAACAGCCCAGGCCATCCCAGGAGGAGCCCACTGGGAGACAGCCCTAGGGAAAAAGCTGAAGGGGGGGTGGGGTGGGCTTTAACCCTTTATCCCAGCCTGGTATCCAGCAAAGGAACACCCTCAACACAGACAGCTGAGGGGATGAACGTCACCAAGAGCCCCTGGCACTTCATAAAGATATGGGTTTGATTACAAATGGAGGACATGGGAGGCAGCCCTGAAAAATGAAAGAGTCTCATGTTGGCAGCTTTGAGGGGCAAAGACAGGGAGGGGAACCCCAGCTCAGCACTGTACTCCCTGGAACCCAACATATCAAGCTGCAAAGCCCCCATTGCTAGCCTTCAAACCCACACCATGCAGAGATGGGGGTGGATCTAGTCCGCGTCTGCCACTGATCCTGCGTGGCCCTGAGCAACTCACTCCCTTTCTCCCAGGTTGAATGAGGTCGCAGATCTAGAGCAGCCAGCCCTGTGTGGCACATAATCAGCACGTGGGGAACGTTAGTGGGCATCATTTTTGTCCTTATTATTCCTGTTATTCTTTATCAGCCTCTACCTTGGCTCCCTCCGTGCCGCCTGCTCAGGGCAAGTTCTAACCCGCCCCCGCCTTTTCCAACCCAAGAATGCATTTCTTCCACCCACAGTCCTGAGCCCATGGCTGCGCGTGGCTGGGGGTATGTCAGTCAACAGGGTCACGTCCAGGAGACACTTCTGCATACGTTGCATGTGCAGACCCCATGAGAGTCGCAATCACGTCACCCCTCTATCCCAGGGCAGCCCCCAGCT